TGCGACGTCGCGAATGACAAAGCGAACTCACTCGCGTCGTTGACGAGACACTTTCCCGGCTCTCTCTCTCTCTCTCTCTCTCTCTCTCTCTCTTCCTCTCTTTCCGCGATATTATCGAGAAAACAATTTACCGACACCTCTTCGTCGCTTGTCACGTCCTTTCATTCGTCCTACGATAGATTTCTTGCGAAATCTTTCCAAGGCGGCTTGTATTCGGTGCCAAACCTAGGCCGCCCGCCTCTCCCTCCCCCCCTCGTTTTCTCTCTAACCGCAAAGGCTGCAAACCGCGTATTCGAAGGCAAACGTAGAATTTCCTCAAGGCCTTCCGTACCTCTCACAATCACTCCATCGCAAAAAAAAGTCCCTCGGAACTCGCAAAAGCCTCGATCGAGTCTCCCCCCGGACTCCAAATTCGCAACTATTACGCGCTGTTTCTTTCGTCAGCTGTCCGATCGAATCAGAGTATCATTTTCGCGAACCTATTAATCAGAGGAGCGTAAAAGATGCTCAGGATCGGGATCACGGCGAGGATCTGCAGGATCGACAGGTTGAGCCATAGCCGGAAGCACAGCCGAACACCAGGTAGCGCGGATCACGGTGCCGCGATTCGGATAGATTAAAACCAATGATTACGGATGCAAGAAGGAGAAAAAGAGAGAAAGAGAGAGAGAGAGAGAGATAGAAAGAGAGGGAAAGAAAGAGGCGGAGAAGGTCCACCTTTTCCTTTATATTACGGCACTATTCGCGGCCGCAGTTTAGACAGATAGGTGGGTAGGTAGGAGAATGAGTCAGGCAACGCTAGGTAGGTTAGATTGGACGTTGTCTCTCCGCGTAGACACACACGTACGTACCTACGTACGTATATGTACACGTGTGAATACGGCGTGCACACATACGTACACACGCGCGCGCGCGTAGAGATGGAAAGGTGCGCGCGAACGCCCGAGCCGCACGTACAGAGAGGCACACATACCTTCGAGTTAATAGCACATGCGAAGTGCTAGATGGCCGGCGTGCGTGGGTGGACGGAACACGTTACGTACGTATGTGTGCCATGGAGAAAAGGCATATGGTCAGCAGGTGAGACCTTTGCTTTGTGTTCCAAGTGTATAAAGTAGCCTACTTCCAGTGACCAATGTTATTCCGTCGTAATTTACTGCGCCAAGGGAGAGAGAGACAAAGGGTCTCGCGTCTCTCCAGATCCTACGGATCCCTTTCGAAAAAAACGCGCACAAACTTCTCTCCCACGCTTTCTCCGCGCTCGGAGAAAAAGAAACGCCCGATTACGAACGATCCAGTTTTTCGAATCAGGAGGGGGATTCTGCAGGTTTTTGCGTAGACAGAGGGTCTATAGAAATTCGCAACGACGTATGATTGTAGGGGATGCACGCGTGTTCTGACACGTGTGAACTGTCGTGTCAAGACCTAGCGAAGATCGCGCTCCGTTTCCGTTAATTTCTTGACTCGTGTGTTACCTGCTGGAGGCAGCATCGAATATTTTAATATAAAATAAACGAGAGGGGAATAAATTCGACGGATTCGGTGAATGAGCGACGAATCTACGAGCGAATGATATTGTTAGTTCAATTTCATTGAAGCCAGTCAGAGCTAACGTTGTTAATGGATCGTAGAATTTTACGTAAATTTATAACTGAAGAAATGAAAATTCGATAGAAAATTGTTCCACCGAACGAAAGGCATCTTGAATATTTTAACGGAAGCACTTTGGATACTTTATACGCATTTGCCTTTGCCTTTCATCAATGTATTTTGAACGTTCGAGACATACAATAAATTCCGAGATTAAGCGCAAAAATAATTTTGACGTGTAATATCACTGGAATTTTGTAACTGCTCTCGAAACGAAAGACAATAGATCTGTGATCTTCGTACAAACTCTTGCGTGAAGTATGTGGAATTTGATGTTCAAGACGTTCGGTTCCATTGGTTGGAACACGCGTCTACATCGTAACCGCGAGTCTTGGGAATAAAGAATAAAGAAGAACAAAGGCAGAGGGGTGAAGATCGAGATGAGGGATGCCTTTTAGGAAATACAGTGGGTGTCGCTTGATATATTTTTCCATTATTAAGGACATTAAGCCGGCGGCCCGCAGGCAAGCAACTCCTTCCGTTTTCTTGCTTCCTCTTTTCGTTTCTGCTCGCAGACCTGGCCGTTTCTTTCTCGCGATCTTCTCCTTTTTTTCTTCCCCTTTCCTGCCCTGCGACGGCGACGACGATAAATCAGAAAAAAAGATTCAAACCGGCGCGGCGGTATGGCCAGGCGTCGGAGCGTAATTTTCCGTCTGCCTTCGTAGATAAAAATGTGATTAATGAACATGTGGTCTTCGGGTTCGAGAAAAACCCGGGCAACCTTTTGGGGTACGATGTCATCGAGCTTAATTAGCATCTGTTCGAAAATTACTGACTGACGCTTGGGAAAGAATAATAATATTCGACCTAGCGATCGTGTACGGCGGCGACGACTTCGTAAAAATCTCGCCGGTCCACTTGAGACGGTCGTTAAAAATTCGTAACTCGACTTTGCTCCCGTCGAATCTCGTTTCTCTCACCCTCTTGACAACCCTTGGCCACGGTTAATCGGCGCGAAAAATGTCCTCGCGTCGTAGATTTCACCCCTTTCGCTTTCTTTCCGCTTTCGACGCGCGGTAGACGAAAAAGGGAGATCAACACACAGCGAAAGGAGAACGGGAAATCTGTTCCGATTGTATTATTAACGACCAACGCGAGCAATTTTTATTCAAAATCTCGGCGAGGAACGCGACTCGAATTGATTTGTCTCCGGGGAAGAAAGAAAGTGTCCGGAAGGGTGGGGGAAAAAAAACGAGGAACAAAATCGAGTTGCAGCCTCTCCCACTCTCACGGGGATTAAGAATCAGGGATGCCCAGTGTCGAAGGTCACCCGTCAAATATCCAACGTCGTGTCTCCCCGGAAAGAAAGGGTTGAAAGTCGTAGAAACTTGAGAACCCTTGGTGACAATTTCAATTCTCCTCTCCCCCTCCCCTCCCACCTTTTTCTCTGTCTCTCTCCACCCCGTGGCCGTCGTCGTCGTCGTCGTCGTCGTCGCCAAACCGCCTCTTCTCTTTGTCGCGCGGCAAGGGTGCGCCTAAGATTCTTAAAACTTCTCGCGCGATTTTTCGATTTTAATTACAGTTTTAACATATTTTAATAAAATCCTTCGAAGCCCGGTTCCCTTCCAATTCCGGTTTCTTTGCTCGCGTCGCCGAGAGAGAGAGAGAGAGAGAGAGAGAGAGAGAGAGAAAAGAAACGGCAGTACCTTCTTTAATTTCGGCAACTTCTCCAACAGACATTCTCTCTTTCGCTCTCTTCTTTCTCCTTCTCTCTCTCTCTCTCTCTCTCTCTCTCTTCGATATTCTCTTCCGACTTTTGCCGCGAACTGTACGCCCGTTTTAACGTTAACCCTTTCGTTCGTTCACCTACACCCACACCGGCTACGAGAGCAACACCTGTTCCCTCAACGAAAACCCGAAATCAAGCGTTCCACCCGCTTGTATTCGGGCCCTTCCAGCAGTTTCACGTTCCTGTTCATCGCGTTGAGGAACGGCAGAAGTGCTCCGGCCGAGTGCGCAACTTGCGCTTCTTGTGCCTTACACGACGCAACGTACACGCGGCTGTAAATCGAAAAACATCGATCGGATGGTTGCTTTCGAAAACCACGGCGATGGTCGTTGACCCCTTTCTCTCTCTATCTCTCTCTCCCTCTTTCTCTCTCTCTCTCTCTCTCTCTCTCTCTGTAGCCAGCTGTTACGCACTTCCTATTAATTCGTGGAGAACCTACGTATCGAACTCCGATACGAGAAAATCGTTAGATATTTCGTCACGCTCGTCCAGTTTGACACTGCGTTCGTTTATTTCCATTAATGAATTTAATAAATTAAACGAGACAACGAATGGGACGTTACGTACGTTGAATGTTGCAACAACGAAAGTCAACTGCGTTCGTATTGTCGTAACGTAGAAATTTTTGATGAATTTTGAATGGAGATCCGATCGAACGCGCGTCAAGTGCAACGTTTCGGCAAAGTATATCCGTCGTAAAACGTGAAAAGTACCGATGAATCGATTCCGCCGCATTCGCGACGAAACGATACAGATATCAACGACGACGACATTGAACACACACTGCCGCGAGTACGCCGACTAAAACGCGGCGACAACGTTTGATTAACGAATCACGTGAAATTTTAAGCACAGGAATCGTAGGGAATAAACAGCGACCTGACAATTAGCATCGGTCAGCAAGCCGAACACGGTGAACAGGCAACCGCCAGTTCGTCGATGAATAATCGAAAACGTAAACGTTAACGCGATACACGTTAGTCTATAACACGCTCGCCAGTTTCTGGCTCTCGTCATCCTATTATTGCATAAGGAAATCATGAGGATCGCTCGAATCGTCCACGAACAACGAAACGAGGCGAGGCTCGATCGTTCTCCTTCGTTTTTCTACGAGAACGCAGGAGGAAGAAGCTGCACTGTAGAAGCACGTTTGAAAAAGATACACGGTGAATCTTGGTTCATCGATTTCCGATTGAACACGGGAGTAGCTCTCTTATTTCTTTTTTTTTTTTTTATCTCTTTTTTACTCGCACACAGGACGAAAGAAATATCACGAATGCTACTCCATTCTAGATTGTAAGTAGGAATAAATAGAATCTACTCTTCCACTATATCCAAGTCAAAATTTCGAATAATTGTTTCGGTTTCCTCTTGAAACAAATACCTAAAGATGTTTAAAGAAACGTACCGGGAAAGTCCTGTGCTGTGAACGATATTGTCGTTGTAACGGGAGAAACCAATGAAAGTGATAAAAGAAACGGAGGAGGAACGGTGCGAGCCGAGCCTCTCGAGAGTTCAGGAGGCGATGGCGGTCGGCGGGAGTGGAGCGGTCAAAACTTCCGTCGACTGGCCATCCTCCGTCTTTTGACTAAAAGTGCAGCGTACCAACTAACTGTGGCAGTTCTTCTCGCAGATCTTCATGCACAAGAGCGCGATGCAGATGCACGCGAGGGAGCTCGGCGCGGCGGGTGCACTGACGGGAAGAGCTGGCGGCGGCGTGGCGGGTGGACTGCCAGGCCTTGGTCCGATCGGCGTCGGACCGGGCGGCATGATCGCCGGCAACGAGGTAAAGCCACACCAGTGCCAGCAATGCCTCAAGTCATTCTCCAGCAACCACCAGCTCGTACAGCACATCAGGGTCCACACCGGCGAGAAACCGTACAAATGCAGCTATTGCGACCGCAGGTTCAAGCAGCTCAGTCATGTACAGCAACATACCCGCCTGCATACGGGTGAGTATTTGTCCTACCCTCCTACCGACCGATGCCTTACTCGAAATCCTGCTGGACCGACGATACCATTCGTGGACTTCGTAGTCCACGGCAAGATTTATATTTCCGCGAATTAGCCACCGTCGATCGTCCCTCGAGAGACTTTGATCTTTTCTGTTTTTTTCTTTTTCTTTTTCTTTTCCATTTTACGGGGACGCGTATCTGTATTGTTTACGGGAATTGAATCGATTGGCGAGACGTTTGAGACTCGTCGATCGATTCGATACTGAATTACGTGAAATTCTCTTGCGATTTCTTTTTTTCTCTATCTTTTTTTCTTTTTTTTTTTTTTTTTTTTAACGAGAATGAAACAATTCGCCGATCTTGCTGCGCGATGACCACGCGGGGAAAATCGACTCGGCGAGCTTAATGCATGCATTCAGTATCCCCGGGACTGATAGTAAATTCTATGAATACCGCATTGCATCGCGGCCAGTCGATAATCAATAAATTAATATACTATTATAATCTGTACAAGCGATCGTGCGTTCCGATTGTGGCTAATTTTAATGCATGCTGCGAGATTGCTCAATGCGCCTCGGTGCTGCAGGCAGAACCGTGGTTTCCAAGACACCGTTGACTGAACACGTTGTCGCTCGGTATGCATACAAGTTGCGTATTGCAGATAAGTTCAATTTACGCGCGCCGGGCGAAACGATCGAATTTATCGAGCGGCTGCTCGACTAAGAATAGCAGTGACGGAAAGACGTAGAACCGACGAGGGACCGGTAATAATGAGAAAATTCGACGGCAAAGCCAGCCAACGGGTCGCGCCCGGGTAGAAAGAATTTCATTAAGGGATGAGCGTAGTCAATCGGAAGGTATTAGCCTCGAGAAGCGAACCGGTCAGCGCCCGCGTATGACTGGACCCTTGGAAAAGTCTCGTTCATCTCGTCCCGAGATTTGCTCTTCCGATTGAGAAAAAAAAGAGGGAAAAAAAAAGAGAAGAGGAAGAAAAAACAAAACCTCGTCGGTATGCCAGCTATTTAATCGAAAGGTCCAAGAGCTCTCGTTCGCTGCTCCGCGAGACGATAACAGATCGATTCTTAACAAAACATTCCTTTGAAATCATTATATCGGAGAGAGAGGAACGAATTTTCGTAGTAGAAGCTTGGCCTGGTAGAACCCAGAGAAAAAAAAACATCTCGAACCTGAACCCGTGTTCCTCGACCGTGTTCAACGAGGGAAGAACGAAAAGAAAAGAAACGAAAAAAAAAAAAAAGAAAAAGGTCCGACATTGATTTCAGCGTTTCACCCCCTTCGTCCTTTTCGACGACTACCAACGAGCAAGTAACTACTGCTCAGCACAACCCCTTACATTAATAATCACCCTTCCCACTGTAGCGGGGCTCCCACTCTACGCTGCTACGGCTGGTACTTCAGCTAACGTCCGCGTGTACGCGCATCTATCGCATGCACGGCTTTCGGTTTCCGTGTCTTTATCGATGAAACGTTTTAAATAAACGTGTGAGGGGCTCTCTCTTCGAGACATCGGCGACCGACCCCCGATCAACCGATATAAATACCCGTGTACGTTTATCCCGTCTATCGACACCGGATCCCAGTTTCCAGATCAACCAACCAACGTGGCATACGACCAACGTTTTCAACCCCTCTCGCCGACGAAGAAAATTTCTCATTTTCGATCGCGCATCCTCCCTCTCTCTCTCTCTCTCTCTCTCTCTCTTTCTCTCTCTTTCTCTCTCGCCGCCACCGTCGGCATACCAATTTCTCGCGATCGAAAAATCGGCGTTGCTCGCCGCTCTGAAATTCCTTCAAAATTCCCCCTTCGACCGTTGTTTTCCCAAACGATACCACCGCTTCCTCACAGCATTTGCATACCATATTGATTTCTCGTTTCGCAGCGAGATCTCGCTGCTTCACCGCGATTGGCCGGTCAAAGTCAAAAAACGGCGGGAATTTACTGCCGCACCGTCGCGTTCACGCGCCCACCCCACCCGCCCCCCAACGTACCCCACCCCTATCTCGCACACCCCCATGCTTCCTACCACCCTCTCCCTCCCCCTCCCCCCTCGCTCACCCCGGCACAGCGCGCGCATTACAACAATTTCCCTCGGACGGCCCGGAATATATATGTATATTCCGCGCGCCTATAAAATTTGCAACGTATATGCATATAATTCATTAATCGAAATTCGACAGAGTTCAGCGCTGAGCTGAACGGGTACCGGCAAAACGAGAAACAGCGGGGCGTAAGAGGGAGGGAGGGACGGTGGGATGGAAGGGGGTACAGAGGGATGAAAGTGCGGGAAAGAGCGGGTGGGAAACATTGGCGAGAGTGGCAGAAACGAAGGACGGCGAATATAATATCGGTGAGTGTCCACGATATCGATAGCTGGTCAATAGCTGTAGCCTAGACAAATACCTGCCGAGGGTGTAGAGTCCATCCTCCCCTCTCTTCGCGGGCTTACGAGGGTGACTGGGCGCGTGGCCAATAGGAGGTCAGTTCGCCCCACTCGGCACGTCGCGCGCGAAAAAGCGCGGGAATTTTTCGATCGCCCGATCGCTCAATAATGGAACCGAAGTTACGCGCCGCCACCGTCGCACGCGCACCACCACCGCCACCAACACCACCAGCCAAACACACTACCGCGTTCTGTCCTCGTCTACTTGCACACACACACACATACAAATATATGTATATATACATATATATATATATAATACACACACACACACACACATATATATACACAATATATATACGCACTAGAACGTAGCAGCCTAATAAATAGCCGTACGCATTTGCGAGCGTGTTGGCGGATAGACGACAGAGTTCGTATGCAACCGGGCCACAGGCTACCAAAGATTATCCCTTCGACAACGAGGAAAACTCAATTTTCATGAGGCGAAATCTAATGATCGGTCACCCTACGCGCGCGGAATTAATCGGTTTTCCCCGAACGCTGCGAGCGGTCGCGTTAGCTTTTAGGAACACTGGTGATTCCCGTTTGCTCGCGTCACCGATTCTCCTTTTCCCTTCTCTCATCCTCTTCCTTCCTTCCTTCGTCTTCCTTTTTTTCTTTTCCTTTGACGCGCCATAGACACGGAAGGGTTGCAAAAGGAACAAGGGGTTCGCGTTAAAATTCGATAGAGCAATAAACGGTGTTCTCGTTAGGAGGAGAACGTTACAAAACGAGTTTCATTAATACCGATACAAATGACGAAGAACCACCATCGGTGGCGGCGGTGGAGTTCACCCCTTTTTCGACGATGTTTGAAAAAAGGAGCACGTCCTCGCGGCGAAATTGACCGGACAATTTTAAAGCCCACTTAAGACTGCGAAAAATTGCCGCATCGTTGGCGCATGAATAAAAATTAAGTCCTCCGCGGGGGTTCTCGCTGGGTGAGAGGCTCGACCATCGACTAGCTCAGCCATCGACACGCTTTCGAAACGAGCTCTCGTGGTATCCGTATTTACGAGGTGACAGTAGAAAGGGCCGACGAAAAAGGACTCGCGAATTGCTAGCCAGAATTCAGAGTGACGCTTCTTGGTTCTTTTCTCCTTTTTCCTTTCTCTCTTCTTTTTCTCTCCCCGTCAGCGTCGTTTCCGTTTCCTCTTTGGCAACGCCGTTTGATGGTGACCTTTCCGCGTGACAGGACGGAGAAATTTCTCCGGCACCGCGAAATCACCCCTCTTCCGTGCTTCTTTGCCCGGACTCGTCCACCTTTTTCTCTCTCTCCTCTTCTACTTTTAATTCGCTAATTTCACCGAGTTAAGTATTTATGCGACGGAATGTCTGGCCAGACGTCTCGAGAAAAATCAAAGCGGCACGGCGGAAAGAACGCTCGGCGACGCCCATGACCCTTTATCACAAATGACGCGAAATGAAAGATTAAACAAAAGGCGGCCAGCGTTTTACGCGTCTGCGAAAAAGTCGACACGACGGCGACGGTTTCAACGACGGTGAAAACCGTGAAATTCTGCCTTGTTTGATACGAACCGAAACAACTTCTTTCCTAGCCGGCATCCGCGAAAATAATTCTTCGTTCTTCGATATACGTTCGCCGATTAAGCGAAAATTAATCTCCAGCTGGCCGATTATTTTCGTTGTGAAAAGAAAAGACCGATCGACGGGCGGAGAATGCGATATAGCTTTCGGTAGTTCGATACCTTACTTAATTCGCGTAATATGAGTTAATCAATTCGACCATGCCCGTATCGTAAATATTTTAACGAGCAATATTAATCCTAACATTAGTATATGCACCACCATCGTAAATTACTCGTATATCAAAACTGTGCGGTTCGATCTCCATGGTAAAAAGGTTGTCGAATCGAAATGTCGAGAGAGTACAATATTCTCTCTCTCTCTCTCTCTCTCTCTTCTCCTCTCTGTATTTCTCGATTAAACTCATCGGCTGACACCGAATCAACGCCACTTAGCATTTGTATAATATTACAATACGTTACGCAAGATGTTGCCGAGGGAAATTACGCTTCCAAATCTAGCGGCGCTTGCTCCTGACCATCTATTATATCACGTCGGCTGGAAACGCAGTAACCGCCGTGCGTCTCGCTAGCTCGAAACCGATTACCTAAATTCACCGGTGAAAAGAAAAAAAAAAAAAAAAAAGAAAAGGAATGACAAGTACAGAAGAACGTTTCTTGAATGGAAGAAGCAACTACGCGTTCACGTACATACATACGATGTGATTCACGTAAAACCATATCGATGGCCCGGGTCACATACACATACACACACATATGAGAGAGAAGAAGTAACGGTCAGAAAGTTCTGTTGCCCGATAGCAACGGAGAGAAAGGCAATTAAACCGTTAAAAGGTAAAAGGTAAAGATAATTAAAAGTTGAAGATACCGTATGGCCTGCCAGAAAATTAACGTAGTCATGCCGCATATGCATAGGCCGACCGACCGATGAGTCTATTCTAATTTTCTACGAACCCTTCCACGGCGATGCATTTCTTCTTCCATGAGG